TGTTTCAAGTTTGTATCTTTGATTCATTTTTATTTTAGTTTGTCCATGTGAGAACATGGTTCTACATTCAATCCTCTGCATATGGGTAGCAAATTTCACCAACACTTTATTAAAGAAAGTATCTTTCCTCCAGTTTATGTTTTTGGCCCTGTGGTTAAAAATTAGATCTTTTGTACTTGTTAAAAATATAAGATGGAAAAAAAAAAGAAACTAAAAAAAAAATATATATATATATATATATATATATGATGATCATACCAGATACATGTTAATGTGTCACTTTGGAGCAGAAAATACTAGAAGTTACTATTGTACTGGTAGCATTTTGGTTAATACTGTACTTCATACTATATTGCATTCATGGAGAATCCAAATATACATTAGCCACTGTAAATACCCTATAGATGAAAATCCCTAACTTTGTTTTAATCTGAGATCCCCAGATTTATTAAAATGAGAAACTAGGTCTATGTTTAAGAAGTAGTACAGTGATGTCTGATAGTATCCTCAAATTATCTACAGGTTTTAAGCTTTTTAAGGAAGTAGCTATCCTCAAGAATATTTGAGAGGGTTGATCGGGTGAAAGAATGGCAGTCAGCATAACATGTGGTGCTTGAAGCACATATATCTAGTCAGATTTCTTAAATACAGCACCAGTTTCTCTGTGACCTTAGAAAGCTCCTTATAGGCCGGTGAGATAGCTCAGTGATCGGCAAGTGCAGGGACACATTTCAGTTGCTGGCACCACATGTCATGCCAGCCCCAACCCCAAGGTGGGCTGAGCTGGCCACACACACACACAAAAAAGCTCTTTAGTTTTCTGCTAAAAATGACTGGTATTGAATTGGAGCAGTAGTTTGTTTGCTTTTCTTAAAGTGACAGTTAACTCCACTTTTAAAAATTATATTAAATATATTGCTACTTATGTTCACTTTCAGGAAACTAATTTATAATCTCAATGGGGTTATAAGAATGGAAAATAAGGAGGGCCTGGGATATAGCTTAGTGATACCAACACCTGCCTGGCAAGCACAAGGCCCCCAGTTTGATTCTCAGTACCCGAAAGAATAACAATAAGAGAAAAATTAGAATAATAATGTTCTTCAGGTGTTCATAGAGTATATTAACCACTTAATAGTTAACCCAGAGCATCACTTGGCCAGCATGTTTGTGTACGTTTTGACTATTCTAGGTGTTGTTCTGGGAGGCATCATTTCAACCCGTTGATTTTTGTTTGGAGATACACTCATGTCTGTTTTATATTGACTATTTTTTTAACTGATTTTTTATGTAGAACATAGTCTTCACCTTTGATGTTTGTTTCTAGTGAAATTAATGTTATGATTTTTTATTAATATTTGTGAAAACCTATAATTTTGTGGTATAGTATAAAAACTCTTACCATATGTACATTAGATATAATTTTTGTACTTCTCCAGAACTCAGTGATATTCTTTGTTTGGCTTTTTTTTAGACAGAATCTTGCTATGTAGGTCAGATTGGCCTTGAACTTGTGGGCAATTCTTCTGCCTTCCCTGGTGCTAGGCTTACTCAGTGATACTTGTTTACAGTACACATGGACATATTTGGGACACAGACTGAATAAGAAGGAAGTGCCAAAAGATCTGCAAAAGAAAACATACTGTAAACAGAAATGTTAGCATATCAGAGAGGAAATGTCTGTGTTATGAAATGCAAAGACCAAAAAGACATCTGTGTTTTAAACTGTTCATAATTCAGAAATGGTAAAACTTGACAGAAGAAATTAAACTTTAAAAATTCTAGTGATGGTCAATGATTACAATAATTCTGCAGGTAGTGTTGACAGAGTTGACCAAGGTCTAACAAGCTATCCTGTAATTAAAAAGCGAGGAAAAAGTAATAGTAATTTTTTTTTCAAGTCAGGGTCTCACTATATATTTCAGGCTGTCATCAAACTCATGGTGATTCTCCTGCCTCAGCTTCCTGAGTGCATGGACTATAGGCATCCTGCACCACCATGCCAGGCAAAGAAAACTTTTTTTGAGATAGGGTCTCACTATGT